GCCATGCAGGGAGGTGGCAGGCTGGGGGTATAGCTAGCAGCACCCCGGCTCTGTCCACTTTCCTCACCCTCCCACAGGCCGGCAGCTCTGGCAGGCAGGCTGGCGGTACCACACAGACTGCAAATTCACCTGGCTCTGTGTGTCTCTGATGAGTGCCGTACTCCTCTTCCTCATTGCTCTCTTGCTGGGCATCATCATCCACCGTGAGTGCCTCAGCAGGGAGGGCTGGGGGATGGACTGTAACTGTGGGGTGGGGGACACAGATCTGGCTCAAGGAGGGAGGGGGGCACAGCGAGGGCATCCATTCTACACAGGACATCCCAGGGTCTGCCCATTGTGGGGAGAGAGTGCCCCCATGCACAGCAGCAAGGGGGAATCTCCATCTCCCTGAGATGTGGCAAGGTCACTGGGCCCTGTGAGACCTGTGCAGGATCCCCTGGGATCTGCACACGTGTGGGGTAGGATAGGAGCACAGGACATGGGGCTGGGTGAGCTTCCTAAGCCCCTTCCCCACACTGCAGTCATTTGTCCCTGCTCGGGCTGAGCTGTCCCTGCTCTTCCCTGGGCACAGAGCTGACGTTTCCGCAGCCAGCCGGCACCCCAGCTGCAGCCCTGCCCGCTCATGGCACTGCCGCTACCACTACAGCACCCACCCGAAGGGAGCCCTCGTCCCCCAAAACAGCTGCCACACCAACACAGAGCTGGCTGCCCACAGCTGGCACGCCAGCACCGGGTAAGTCCCACGTGGGGCAGTGTGCCAGGACAGAGGTGCCCTGCAGCACTAGCTCATGCCCATGCTGTTGCCTCGTGCAGCCTGCGGCGGGACCTTGCAGGGCCCCGAGGGCTCCTTCAGCTCTCCCAACTACCCTGGTCCCTACCCGCCCGATGCACTCTGCATCTGGCGCATCGAGGTGGGCCACGGCCTCGTGATCCAGCTGAAGATGGAAACATTCAGTGTGGAGGGCACTGCCTCCTGCCTCTTCGACCGTGTGGAGCTCTACGAGGAGCAGGGGGCTGTCAGCATGGATCCTGCCCCAGCTCGGTGGGGCCCGACCAGGTAGGGCCCCTCGCACATAGGGAGCCCGGTGGTGCAGTGCGGAGGGGGCAGCGTCTATGGAGATGAGCAGTGTCACCCCTTGTTGTGCTCCCAGGTTTTGTGGCAACATGGCCCCCCCAACCTTCAACACCAATTCCAACCACCTACGTGTCACCTTTGTCTCCGACAGCAGCGTGGGTGCCCCAGGCTTCAGCGCCCGCTACCGTGCCGTGGCCCCCACTGAGAGTGAGTACCCCCACCCCAGGCACTGCCAGGGCTCCTCGCTGCGGGCAGGCAGTGGGTAGCACCAGGTGCTCTTCCATAACGCCCAGGGCACTGAGGCAGGGGAGGGTGCCCAGTGGGATGCCACCACCAGCCCAGCAAGCTCTGCCTGCGCTGCAGAGAGCTGTGCCTGGAACGAGCACTTGTGCGACCAGGGGCTTTGCCTCCCCCTGGGCTTCATCTGTGATGGCTTCCACGACTGCGCAGACAAGAGCGATGAGGCCAACTGCAGTCTGAAACACAAAGGTGTGCCAGCCCCCCGCCTGCAGCCCACAGCCCCTGCGGCACCTGGCCAGAGGGCACAGTGATGGGCAGTGGGAAGCAGGGGCAGGGGAGTGGGGAGATGGGGTGAAGGGAGAGGGGCAGGGGGTAAAGCTGCGTGTGTGTCCCTCCAGAGTGCGGGGGGCCGCTGACCGCCTTGGAGGGGCACTTCTCCACCCCGAGCCATCCCCAGCCATACCCACACCAGCAGGTGAGAGAAGGGATGCCGGTGGGATGGAGGCGAGAGTAGGGTGATGGTGAGGATAGGCACAGAGGAAGGCAACCTCCCACCAGGGAGAGCTGGGGGTCCCCCTGCCCGACTTCACAGGTATCACTGGTTGCCCCCTGCCCTGCAGCTGTGCCTCTGGCAGATCTCGGTGCCCGTGGGCCACGTCATCGACCTGCACTTCCACAACTTCAGCCTGGAGTCACATGAGGACTGCAGCTTCGACTTTGTGGAGGTGCACGACAGCGCAGGCACGGGGGCCGCCAGTCTTATGGGCAGGTACAGGCACACGCCGATATCTCCAGCCCTGCTGCACCAGCCTGAGTGCCCTGAGCTCATGTGGCTCAGCTGGGGAAACTGAGGCACAGGGCAGGCTGGTGAGGAGGACCCACCAGAGGACAGGGTTTGGGAAGGTGTTGGTTCGTCCTCCTGCCCACCCTGACCCCATCCCTTTCCCCACAACCCCGGCAGGTTCTGTGGCCACCAGCTGCCACCCAGCCTGACCTCCTCACGCCATGTCATGACCATTCTCTTCGTGGCAGATGAGGGAGTAGCAGATGACGGGTTCTTCGCCACCTACCAAGCCCGCAATGCCACAGAGAGTAGGTAGCCAAGCAGGGGCGCAGGCTGCCCAGAGGGGCTGTGCAGTCATCATCTTTGGTGGTTTTCAAGGCCAGGCTGGATAAAGCCCTGGAAGAAACTGCTCTCACCCCAGAGCTGATCCTGCTTGGAGCAGGAGGTCAGGCTACAGGCCCCTGGAGTCCCTTCTCATCTCAATTACCCTATAACCCTGTTGATCCTAGCTATGGGGATGTGGTCTGGAAGGGCTCACCTGCACAACAGGCATGATCCGTCACCTGAGGACTGTCCCCAAAAAACCCAGGGAATTTGGGATCCCCCTAAGTTGGGCCAGTGATGGTCACCTGTTGGCCGTGGTGCCCAGGTGGCAGTGCTCTGCATCCATTTACCTGGATGTCCCCTGGCCAGTGACCAAGAAGAGCAGCAACAGGAGTGGCCAGCATGGGAACAGGCTGACTCCCAGCAGGGAGGCCAGCCGCCATCAGCACGACTTGGGCCACATGCCCATGCCTGGGCCCATGCCCTGCTGCACTGGCCGCTCTCATCTTACAGAGACCTGCAGCCCCACAGAGTTCTCCTGTGGAAATGGTGAGTGCCGGGCACTGGAGTCTGTGTGTGATGGCTGGCATGACTGCCCTGACGGCACCGATGAGCTAAACTGCACTGGGGTCTCCTACCCAGCCTTTGGTGAGTGCCACCTCTGGGTGCTCTGCTCAGCACTCAGCCCCTCCCTGAGCCCACCTGACCCGGGAGACATGCTGGCAGCTGCCTGATGGCTAACATCTGCCCGAGGCATACCTCGTGGGCATCATTGCTGCTATAAGAAGTGAAGCACCTTGCCCTGTGGCAGGGTCTGTCTGTGAGCCCGTGGAAGTGGAGATGTGCCTGGGGCTGGGCTACAATGCCACCTCCTTCCCCAACATCTGGCTGGCTATCCCAGACCAGGACGGAGCCGCCGAGGTGCTGCAGGACTACCAGGTGAGCTGCCCGGGGGCTGCATGCGGGGCTGCCCACACCACACCACACCACACCACACCATGCCACGCTCACCACCACTCTCCTGCAGACGCTGATGGAGCTCGCCTGCTACCAGCACCTCCGCCTCCTCATCTGCAGCCTCTTTGTGCCCAAGTGCACCCCTGATGGTGGTGTTCTGCAGCCCTGCCGAGCCGTATGCCTGGCTGCCGAGCTGCGGTGCCAGCAGTCCCTTGGCCTCCTCGGCATCCTCTGGCCCATCAACTGCAACATCCTGCCTGACTCCAATGACCCCATAGAGTGCTTCCAACCCTGACCCAGCAAGAGAAGAGAAGCAGCCTGCCCAGAGCTGCCCCCCCCGCCCCAAATGTCCTTCCCATTCTCTTGTTGCAAATACACAGCTGATGGGGTAGACCCCGTCAGCAGCACCCCATGGTCTGGCTCCTTGCCTGCTCTGGGGTCCAGCACCTCTGCTCAGCACTCAGCTCAGTGCCCAGATGCCATGGGCTTGCCCACAGGACCAAGTCCCCTAGAGAGCAGTTGACCCTTCCCAGCCTTGCTACAAGGAAAGGCTCGTGCTGGAGGGACAGTGCCCACAAGTTGGAGCTGTGCTGGGGACACCACGCAAAGTCCCCCTGCCAAGCAGCCGTGTGGTAGCAAGAGGGTTGGGCACTGCCTCTCCATCCTCAGCCAACCCCAGACATGCTGGCCAGAGCTGTGCATGGTTCCCAGCCCATTTCTCTCTCTCAGCTTCTCCAGGCTGTGCACAGCCTCTTTCCTGCAGCCCTCAGGCAGCTGCTAGCCTAGCAGGGGAAGTGTTAATGCTCCCGAAATGGAGCAAGGCTGGGCCAAGGTGAGCCAGGCTGCACGCAGAAGAGCCCAGGGCTGCTCATGCCCCGCAGCCCCAAAGCCAGCAGAATAAACAGCATGAGCAACTGACAAACCCAATGGAGCAGGTGGCTCATTTAGGGAGGATCTGTGTGTGGGTCCTGCCAGATCCCAGGGGAAACGGAGGCATGGGCCAAGGGAAGGAAGCCACGGCTGGCGTGAGGGGTCTGAGCAGGAGTGGAGGGGTACAGGGGCAACTGCCTGGCTGCAGGGGGGAATGGTCTGCTGGCTGTACCCTCAATGGCCTGGGGGGGCTTGCAGGGCACCAGGGAGATGGATGGGTCTCGGAGGGGGTCAGGTTAGCAGCCCCATGGTGCAGGCAGGGGATCCTGCAAGCTGTGGCCCTGCTGACTGAGCTGGCCATGCTGGCTTCAGGCCACCCTGATGGCCACAGGCCTGGCAACAACCCACGGCCACAAACCAGCTCCCAGCTGGCCAAAAACAACAGCACCTTCACACCTTGGGAGAGAGGAGCCAGGCGGCTCCCTGCCAGCACCCAGCCTGGCGTTGGGCATCTAGGGCAGGAAGGTTCAGCTCGCAATGTCACCCACACTGCTGTGGGCAGCGGCACAGGGAGGAGAAAGCCAGCAGTGGCTGTATGCTTCCCGCTGCCCTCACCCTCCTTGAGCACATGGCAAAGTCCCCTAGCCGTCTGGGGTTACTGGGAGCAGGACCCACTTGGCTCCGCACCACTCTGCCCTTGCAGCCAGCACGGCACTGCCATGTTCCTGCACAGTTGCCCTGCTCAAGGGGCTTGAGCCCACCCAGCTCCTTTGCTCCCTGCATGTCCCAGCTGCTGCAAGCTGGCTGCATGGGGACTCCCCCCAGACATAGGACTGTCCCACCACTTGGCATCTGACAGTGTCCCTTGGATGCACTCCGTGCTGGAACAAGTTAAAGGCAAACTGGGAGTGCCTTCGAAAGCCCGGCACAGTCCCAGCTTTGCCGCGTGCCCCACGGTCCCCTCGGGCTTGCCCTGCTTCCTGGCACAGCCGCAGCACTGCTCTGCCTGCACTTCCACCTGCCTGCTGCTGCCTGGCACATCCCTGCCTGTTCAGCCCCACATGCTGCCCCCAGGCCCTACACAGCACCCCCCAGCTGGCTCCTGCAGCTCCTCATGGGTGCTCCCAGCGCTGGCACTGCCAGCCTGTGTGCGCCCTGCTGTCCTCCTTGCCTCCCTGCCAGTCCCAGCCAGAGGCTGCCAGTCAGGGGACCCACATGCCCCGAGGGCTCCCTCTTCCTTCTCCCACTCCAACTCTGCCTGCCTTTGGTGCATTCCCCTCCCTTGGCCTTGCTCTGCTTTCACTCTGCTGCCTGTTTTCTCTTGTTTCCCTTCCCTCCGTCCTGCTGCCTGGGTGCCCAGACACGTTCAGCCGAGGCGGTTTGCAGCCCATGCCTCCTCTCCCTTTGCCAGGCTGTTTGTCTCACTCTCCCTTCCCCCTGCTTACAGCACTTCTGACACCATGGGATTATTTTTCTTTTTCCCCTTGTCTTGTAGCTTTTGGCTCCCAAGGCCCTTGATTTCCTTTGGAGTTTGGGAGGAGAGACGTGAGGAGGAGGGGGGGTGGAGAGGCTGCCTTTCCTAGGGCCTTCGTCAGAGTGAAGCGGTCAGGAAGAGCCGCAGCCCTTCCACACCGGAGAGCAGCGAGGTGCTGGGGCAGGAGTCACAGGATCGCAGTGAGTGGGGCTACCCAGCTCTGTCCACCCCAAGTCGGGGGGAGCTGGGACTGACTGGGGTCCTGGCTCCAGCGCCTGGGTGGAGGAGAGACACTTTTCTCCTCCTTTTCCTCTTTGTTGCAGCCGTCGCGTCCAGGCGGGGCG